TGCGGCTCTTGCAAAAGGCCTTCCGCAGCATTTAGAGTGCGGAATGGATTAAATAAGAATTTAATCAAATCCACAGTCAGTCAGTTACTCCGTTATTAGGATGCATGGGTTGTCGCCTTTCTGGGGCCAGAGCACACTCAAGGATTGGCGATTTGAATTGAAAGGTTCTTCTGTAACTAACTAGCGTGGCTGAGGAGAATTCATTGAGTGTTGGGGGCGCCGGCTGGCTGTGTTGTAGCGAGCTGACTTATTTAGATTGATATCTGTTTAAAAAGGAAGTATCTTTGATTGGGATGCGAAAGACGTCTTACAGGGATATTAACGCATATGGACCTTTCTAAAATTGCACAAGATACTTTACTCTAAGTATATACACGCACCAGCCCTGGGTCAACATGGCATGATCCATGGTCCCAGGATGGGTGCAGAACTGTATCTCATTGCCAGCGAAAACCAAAAGTGAATTCACGGAAAGTTTGCACTGTTTTTATTTGTTTGTTTATAGAATACTTCTTAGCTATATTTATTATTTATTCTGTATTCTTAGAGTAATAATATAATAATAATTATAATAGAAATCCCTGGGACATAGCAGATGCTTCATTTCTGCGCATAGATTAATGCAGCGTGTCCACTGCGGGCGTGGCGGAATTGTGTGTATGGACTGTTTGTTCTATTATTCCAGATTCCCCCGGTTGCTGCTGAGACAGGAATGCCAGGGATGATCCAGGCAGAAAGAGTTTGATATTTTGTTATGATGCTGAAAAGACGGTGGGGATTGTCGAGGGGGTCCGAGACAGAGCAGAGAATAGTAAACCTACAGAGAGACAGGATGAGAAAGAAAAAAAAAACAGAGTGAAGATTAACTCGATAACCAATCAACCTGTTTTACCTGCAAATCAAATGGACAGACTGTTGCAACATGCAGTTATTTTAACTGGCTAATGAGATGGTTGATGCCTGACAGGAAGTTAGTTATTTTTACATTCTTGCTGGAAACGATACCCCGAGGCCAGCGCAGATTTGTGCAGGATATGCATGTCACTCTCCCCAGCGGCACCCAGTCATCATTCCAATTCCCTCTGCTCTCTTTTCTTTTTGTCCACAATCTTCCTCTTCTTTTTCTTTTCTTTTCCTCTCCCCTGACTCCTCTCCTCCCCCCGGATCAAGCAACACATTTCAGACTGAATATCTCGCGACAGTCCGTTGATATCATCAGTATATAAACACACAAAATCCCACCCTTCATGTAAACTCCACTTGATATAACCCATATTGCACTCGATATCCAGATCGTCTATATATACCACAACACTATATATAATTTTTCTACGCCCTCAACTCCACCCTCTTCCATCGTCTATTATCCTCCCTCATCTATATCTCGAGTCTGCGTCAACCCATAAAAACCCTCCCGCTGTTGGTCCTCTCGCCCTCATCCCGTCCCTCGATCCATCGTCAACCACGACTACCGTGCGACATTCCTCTCTGCGCAACATCGCTTCTAAGCCGTTTTCTCTCATTCTCCGCTGCAACAACTCACTCCTGTCTCTCATAGTCCGCCCTTTCATCGCCTCATTTTCAGCGTTGTCTTGCGGCGACTCCGTATCGCCTTTGCACGCCCTCCCACAATTCCCCCATTTATTTTTTTCTTTTCTTTTCTTTTCTTTTCTTTTCTTTTCTTGCTTTTTTTTTTTTTTTGGCCCGCCAACCACCAAACCCAAAAAGGACTCTAGTCGGGTTTCATCGCCCATTGAAACGACGCTAATCTAATCGCCCACCGTGTCTGCTATCGATGACACCAAGTAAGATACTACCGTCACCTAAGTATAAAAAAAAGGAAAGGTTAAAACGAAATAAAATAGTTTGGC